TAAAAATTAAAATTACACGACATATAAACTATTGTAATTTACTTTTATAATTCATTACTTTTATTTTAAATTTTTATGCCATTAAAAATTACGACATTACAGCCTAATTATAGCATTGTGACCTAATTACAGCATTACGACCCAATTACAGCATTACGGCCTAATTACAGTATTACGAAAAGTGTCATAACTGTAATGCTGTATGCTGTAATATTACGGCATCGACCAATCAATTACGGCTAACATCTTTAGGGTATTACCACGTTTTTGAATAGAGTTAGCATAGATAATAGACCAAAAAAGTAAATGTGTACCCTGAGGTGTCAAAAGCTGCGATAAATAAAAAAAACCACATTTTCGAAGTCATGCCAAATTAGCCTTAAACACATCTAAAGAAAGGCATTAATAAATGGGAGTATGACCATTAGGGTAAGTTAAGTCAGGCACAGGGAACAAGTTAGCACGTAATAGACGAAAGGGAGTTGAGATCGGCGAAACTAAAGTATTGGCAATATAATCTTGTTTGAAAATACTAAGAGAAGACCAACAAGCCCAATCCAAAACTATCAAAAGGGAAATAGGAATTAAACAATAAAATTGAATAAACCGCAACCTATAATTAAAAAGGGATTTCATAAAAGAGGAAGAAGAATTTGCTAATAAAAATAAATTAGTAAAATGACTCTGTTGTTAAAATGAAAATAAATTAATTAAATTCAAAGCTTGTGATAAATATAACACCACATTAGGAATAGAGCATGTTAATTTAGCCTTGTGTTTAACTAAAGTATGAACTGAAGAAGTGATAGTAGAACATTTAGCCTCAGATAAATGCGTAACTTGCATTTGATAATCCAATTTGGGGATTAATACAGTATTATAAAGATATACTACTTGTTGAACAGTTAATTTCACAGGGTGAAGAGTAGCAGAGAATGAATTACATTTTCATTTAAGTTGTTGCTGGATAAAATTCCTAGAGCCATTAATATTAAACCAAACATCCAAAAAACGGAAAGATGAAAACATGGGGATAAGAGAAACTGTAATGTTAGGGGTAGTGTTGAGTGACGAGGTTAACAAATTAAAAGCTACAGGAGATAAGTCTTAAGAGGTATCAACTGCATTGGTGGCTAAGACATATTTATTGTGGTTAGCTGAAGTATTATTCAAGCAATAAAATTCTTCAGTAATAGACAGCATATATTCCATTTCTTCCTTAGAAGAGGAGATCAAAGTAGAGTCATCCATAAATACTAAATTATTAATATCTAAAACATCAGGAGAGCAAAAATCCGATGATGAAATATGGAGAACTATTGGAGAAATTAATTGATAAGGATCCTTTTTCTCATTTTTAAGAACTGTGAGCAAAGGGTCTAAATAAATAACCCATAAAAGTGGGGAAATAACTTCGCCTTGATCTATGCCTATTCTTACTCTGTATGGCGAAGTAAGGCCATGTGCAGTGATGACATGATTAGAACGTGACAAAAATAATGAGAGTAAAAATTGAATAGCATTGTGTGGCAGACATAAATGTTGAAGGGCAAAGCACAGCATAGTAAGGTCTACAGAATCAAATGCCTTTGAAATGTCTTGAGAAAAGATCCACAAGGGCTGTTTAATAACTACTAATCATGAATAATGGATTCCAGAGTAATAATAGGATCATGGTAAAAACCTCCAGGTAGACCTGCAAAATTACCACCTTGGAGAACATGATGGAAGGCTAATAAGTGAGCAAGACGATTATAAAAAAGTTTGACCAGAGCCTTATGAATAAGTAAGTGAAAATATAAGTAGGATGAAAAATAAGTAGATGAAATAAGTGATATAAGAAAATAAGTAGGTGAAAAATGGTGATATAAGTAGGTGAAAATATAAATAAATGATTTAGGTTATAAAATAAGTAGGATATAAGTAGGTGAAAATATAATTAGGTGATTTAGCCAGAACTGGCATTTTCATACTACTTGTTGTTTGTTTGTTTTAAGATAAAGGTTGGATGACTTCAGACTTAATAAAGAATTACATTGATTTTTTATTTAAAATTCAGATGTCTGAAAATTTGTCAAAAGAACCTGTATGATGTTGTATGATTCTTTTCATGGTCACTTGGAAGAAAGTGTTAAAGCTAAATTTAAACAACACAATTTTCAATTAGCCGTTATTTCTGCAGGATTGATTAGTGTATATCAACCATTACGCCATTAGACATATCAATAAACAAATCTTTTAAAGATAATTTACAAAAAGAATGATATGAATGGATGTGTAAAGGTGATTCAAGTGTAACTGAAGGGGTAACTTAAAAAAAGAAAGGATAAGTAAAGTATGTGGATAGGTCAAACAATCTTGGAATGCTATTTCAGATCAAATTATTTTTAATTCATTTAAAAAATGTTCTATTTCAAATTTATTGGATGGGTTAGAGGATAATATGGTCTATAAAGAAATTAATAGATTGATCGCTGTAATATGAAAAAAAAAATTTAGAAAAGTTAGGTGATAATATTAAAATTGTCTGCAATTAAATAACCAAATAAAAAATTTTCTTACATTCATTTCGATATTGTTAATGAGTTTATTGTTATAGTTCAGCATAATTTCATTACACTCAATTCGAAAAATCCAAAGCTGTTCTTATAAAAATTAATTATTACCTTGTATTATTCATTAATTAACTGACATTACTCTGGAAAGGAATTATTCTAAATCAAACATACAAGCATCAGTTAGAAAAAAAATTTGTGCAGCATTGATATAAATGATATCATATGATATACCTGCTATAAGAAAAATTTGTGATCATGTTACTGCATTAGTTTCTTGTCATTGATGTTAGAAAAAAGCAAATTACAAGAATCATTAGTATAATTTTGCCAAAATAGGAGATATGGAGAATTGGTTTGTTACCAGGAATTTAAACAAATATCTTCAAAATGCATTTGGCTGGTAATGGTATAATTTACACTGGTAAAAAAATGATTTATCCTACACATATCTTACACATATTGGGTACTCAAAATGTAGAAAATCATACACAAATAATACACATATCATACACATATCGGGTACTAATATATATATCATACATATATCAGGTACCTGATAGGTATACTATATATATAAGTACCCGATATGTGTATGATATGTGTATTATTTGTGTATGATTTTCTACATTTTGAGTACCCGATATATGTAAGATATGTGTAGGATATGTGTAGGATAGACCATTTTTTTACCAGTGTTAGATATATCAAGAAAGAGATTCGTTAAACAAACTGAAGTAAGATAATCAGAACTACTTCGCTTGCCTTATTTTAATTCAATTCATTTTACCATCATTGATCCAATGCATTATCTATTTTTAGGCATTGCAAAATGGATTGTGAAGTGAATTTGGAACAATCAGAAAATCTTAATTTCAAGTATGCTCAATGAAGTTCAAAAGCAAATAAATCGATTTCAAGTTCTGGTCAATTTGGGTCAAATTCCTGGCAAAATCAACTGCAGGGAAGGCTTTTCTAACTTTACAGCTGACCAGTGGAAAAATTTTTTTACAATTTATGCTGCAGTATCACTTTGAGAACATCTCTTAACTGAAGATAGAAAAATTTTGAGATTTTACGCTGATCTATACTAGCATAAAACAATGCACTGTTTCACATGCACTTAATTTCCTGTCAGCATTTTGATCTCATCATCTTTAATATTTCCAATATTATCTTTTTCATTACTTTGATCTTTATCACATTCAATATCTTGATTTTCATTGTTACTTTCTTTTGACATTTCTTTTCCAAATCTCCTTTCAAAATTTTTAAAATTTTTATAAACTGTATCTATTAAGAATTTCTGTATTTCCTTATATTATACATCTTCAAAATTCTAGTGTAACCTAAATATATTTATTTTATTTCCAGAATATGGGAGAGACTATGTTAAAAGTTTTTCGTTAGATCAATCTATCACAATGTATTCATGTATATTAATATCAGAATTCATATTCAAAGGTATTTCTTTGGGACACTAGTAATGAGAAAGAATCTGTATTTTTACAAATAGTGTTTGATTACTACATAATATTTTTTTAGTAATCGAAAACGAGTAAAGATAATATTAAAATGGAAACGGATATTGTGATCACATTGGGCATGTATCAGTTTGATTATTTCATGTTTTTAATAGAAGCATGTGCGGGATCTGCCTAGTTTCACTGAATTTATTCCTTAATGTAAATATGAATTACAAGAAAAAAAATGTGTTTATATAACTAGAGTTTGGAATCGATTAAGACGGTTAATCGATTAATTATCCAAATCATAATTCTGGTCAAATTATCTAATGCGGCCCAGAGCTGTGAATTTTGGTCACGTGTTTTCCGAACTTGGACGAATTTGAATAATAAAATTAAAATAAGACTTTCCTATAACTAAATGTATGATCAAAAACAATTTGTGCAATTTGCGGCCAAACAAACAATTTTTAATGTTTTAATATTAATCGATTATTAATCGATTAGGTCTTTGGTTAATCATTATTAATCGGTTAAGGTTTTTTTGGTCGGTTCCAACCTCTATATATAACTCAATTGCGTTTCATAAGAACGTACACAATAGAACAAATGGTTAAGAAGAAAATCGTCAACCACGTGTTGAGCATTTGAAATCTCTTCGTGATCCCATCCACACAAAACACAATTTGTAAAAAAGAAATGTATTTCATCATTGAATTAATAAATGATTTTACGTTATTCTTTATTACAAAAGGTTAATTGCTGAGTCGGTCACTTATGTTAAATGTTTAAGTACAACATATAAAACATTGCCCAACTACGAGACCGTGTGTTTCAACTACGATTTGTAATTTATTTAAAAGAAAAAAAGTAATGAAGTCAAAACTAGAATTTTTGTCCGTCTTAAATTAGGTAAAAAAGTTAAAATAATAGATTTTTTTTATACCAGCGTATAAGGGTAAATTTAACTTACGTTCTCTTAGCACTGTGAACCTGATATTTTGTTAATAATCTTCATTACTACTCGTCTTTTTTCTGGACTATGAGCTTTAAGGCTCATAGCGGAACCCAAAGCGTGAATAAAGTCTAAATCCTCAGCGGGATATTCATAAAATTTGTGGTTTTCATTGCCGCACTTAAAACGCCAATCTTTCCAGTCTTTTGCAGTACCGCAATCGTCACATAAAATATCTAGGGAAGTATCAATTTTTAATTTTCCTTCACAGTATCTATGATACCAGTAACTAGCACTTTGATAATTTGACAAACATCCTGTTGAAGCCACAGGGCAAGGCATACAAAGCCATGCCTCATCTGAACTAAGGCCCATTGTAAGTAAAATTTTTTTCGTAACGAAGTAAGTTTTTATTTAGCACAATCTTAGTGTATTTATTGAGATGGAGTTCGTTTTGTGGAAAAGATTTTCTAGAATTTCAAATGAAGGAAAAATAATTGATTATATTATCCCAAATTATCAATCTAATCTGAAAAAATATCATGATAAGACATACTTTCCTTTCATATGTAAGTATCAACAAAGAATACTTATTTAATACAGACAAGATTTCATGATAAGACATTCTTCCTGTCTTACGAAAGTATCAACAAAGAATACTTTTTAGTACAGATAAAACCTTTCAAAGACAAAAAAAAGTATCTACTTAGATTTTCGACTAATAAACTATTAACTAAACCATAATAGGTTAATAAACGGAAAATGTCGGTCATTCGGCTAACACTAACCAGTTATCGATCAAAGATAGAATTATTTAATTTTTTTAAACGTATATAAATTACCTTCTTGGCTCACCGATCGTTTATTTCATGTGAGTTATGAATTTTCTTGTTACAAATTTACTAAATTTCTAATTTTGCTTATTAAATTTACTGCATTACAACAGACGAGATGTCGACAATTCAAACGCATGCACAGACTTTAGCTTACGAGCAACAAAAGAGCATTTGAAATTTTATCCAAAGCGTTAGAAGCCCTTGAAGGATACCTTATCGCATGATTAATCGCCCACAAATCTATGGGACTAGTAAATGGATCAAGAGCGACAGTGAAAGTTCAAGAATGTTTTTTGATTCATTTGAACATATGCGGCATAACTTTCTCTCACAGAAATACGAATTTTCCTACCAAGCAACTCGTAAGGCAACAATTTTATACAATATTCCCGCCGAACAATGCCCACAGGACCTAGCTTATTTTTTGATTGAAATACATGATGTACTAGATGGTGATAAAAGCAAGATCACCAAAGAAAATATAGAATACGATGCTAGTAATAATGAAACACAACCTTCAGCCGAAATGTATAATGACTCCTTTGATTATCAACAACAAATTCATAAAGTTGACTTACAAAAAGAATCTTTGGTAATAAGACTTCTAGCGAAGTAGAACTGCAAGGAAAATTTAGTGGAGGAAAAGAAGAAGAGGAGAAAGGAAAGATGATTTTTGAAATAATTGAAAAAAAATACCGTAAGGAACATAAAGCCTATCCTTTATTTGTTCCTTATGATAAAAGACAGCAACAATCATATTTAATTTGAAAATGATAAACTTCTTTGAAATGAGGATTCACCAAGAAAAAATATAGCTTTGCAATTTATATCGAGAAAGGAGTCAGTATTCCTTCTCTAAACTATTTTATACAATAACATTTCGTCCATAATGAGGCTTTTTATCAAACATGCTATCACTTATATATGTTTATGGATCTGTCCGCATGGTAATAATGGCAATAGATGTGATACAATGTATATTATTTTTTCCGTGTATGAAATAAAAATGGACAAAATTTTTACTGTCACATTTTGAATGTATACATTTTTGTTCGTGCTTGTATCATTTTTTATTAATAATAATGGCTTCCACCAGTTATACATACTAATTTTAATAACTAGTGAATTTTTCGTGTTTCGCATCATCTTGAAAAAGAGTTTATTGAATGTCTCACGATCAGTATGCAAATATATTCACTCGACATATGTCGTATTCAATATTTCGTAATAAAAAATCTAGCTTTGATTTTATAAAGAAAATGTTCATGTGTAAATTTTAGACAAAAAGAAACCCATTTAAACCCATTTAAACAAAAATTTAAAAAGTAATTATATAGTTACGATTAATTCTATAAATATTAAAATTGCGATATAAATTTCCCATCACGCCTATATAACATAAGCTTATACCTATATAATCAATCAAACTCTTTACTTATACACACTATGCACGACGGTAAACGGTATAGATAAATAAGTATAGGTGGTCATCAAGTCCGCCTTTTCCTATAACACACTATGCATGATAGCAAACGGTATAGGAGGCAGACTCTGCTTTTCAGAAAGAAAGTTTTTTTTTAAAAAAAAAAAATGTACAAAATAAATAGTTTTAAATAAAATAGTGGTTAAATTGACTTTTTAGGAATTAATAGGCCTTATAGCCTTATAATATATGCGATCATTTAATATACGCGATCATTTAATAAGACAATTTATTAAATTTGGTATTACACGAACTTGATCAACCTGATAATTGTTTAGTAATGCACTACATTTCTCTTTATAGGTGGATATTTCTTAAATTATCATCTGCAAACTACTAAACTTTTCAATTTTTTGCAGAATCAAAGATGGAAACCGGAAAAGTATTCTGATTCAGAATTTTTTTTAAAGAAATGTGTTTGTTATTTTGTAAATTACCAGTCAGAATTGGCTTAAACTTTAAAGTTCTTACTTTACGCAAATATTACGCAAATGTATTCTTTTTGATCTGTACAAAAACGTCAAATATATAGAGATATTTAGGCCATATACACTAAAGAAGAAATGTCACATAATAACCATTCCATTTTTAACAAAATAACAATTACTTTTTAAACTTGAAAATGTTATAACTTAGACAAACATTTTATAGTTTCATATATCCATTTTATTTTATATTATTATCACTCAACATTATAGTATGATATTTAGAATAATAATGTTTCATATTATCATTTACTTGTAAAATTTACTAAATTTATTCAATGTAATATTGTTATAAAATGCATAAATTTATAAAAAAAATTAGAGCGTTTGCTAAGATTTATAACTATATATAATTTAATATTATTATTAATAACTATGATTAAAGGATATGAAGTATCAGCATAAATAAAATAACTTACTGATAAAGAATTAATGATCATACTTCCACTTCTAAAAGGTATCGTCAACTCTTTGGTCATATTATTTAATTCTTTAATAGCAGACAAATTTTTTCCATTTTACAAAACTTTAAAGGTTTTTCTTACGAAATCAACCAAGATATTAAACCAGGACCCCGGATATCTAATATAAAGGTCATAATGGACTTTTGGCCAAAAACACCCCTTTTTGCTGAAACTCAAAAAATCGTTTTTTGTAAATATCTCAGCATCCAGTAATTCAATTTTAATGAACTTTTTTTATTTTGTAGCCCTCATTTAGCTCTACAATTTAAAAAAAAGTTCATCAAAATTGGACCACTGGATGCCGAGATATTTACAAAAAACGATTTTTTGAGCCCCTGAAAAATGGGCCAATCTGCCGAAAGTGTGACTTATGACCTGTTTTGGAGATATCCGGGGTCCTATTAAACCCTCCATTTTTTGTTAATTCTGAAATATTAACAGCTACAAGCTGTTGGCTTAAGATCTTTTAGACAAATTCTTCATCAATATAATCTATAAGTTCTTTTTGAGATAAACTTCCAGTAAATGCTCTATAATTAAATAAATAATTAATACAACTACAACACAGCATTATTTGGTTAGCTATGAAACAATTAAATATATACCTATTCATCGGTAAATTTTTTAGAACACAGAACTGCGGCAATCTGCAATTTTTGCAGATTGCCGCATTTTTTTTTACAATTTTTAGTAAAAATCTGTGCAATATTGCACAGTTCATATTTTTTATTTTTTCAAAGATTTTTTTATAAAAAATAATCTTCAAAATTGCAGATTTTATAAATATTTCACACAAAAATCTTTAAAGATCTTCAAATTTTCTTTTTTACTTTGATAAACTTTACAAAAAACTTTTATAATACTTTATAGTTTATTTTTAAAAACTTTTTATAAAAAAAACATACTTTCTTTTCCTTTCACCATCCTTCGTCACCCTTCAGTTTTCTGGTAAGTTTTACAATTTTTGCATTGCGAAACAAAATTTGTAAGAAATGTTAAATGTTTCTTATTTTTTGTAGGTTTCGTAAAGTATTTCAATTCTAATTCAAAAATGGTAAGATTCGCAATGTTATGTAATATTGCGAAATATTTTTTTTATAAGAAACGTCTAAAGTTTCTTCTTTTTTTTTGTAGGTTCAAGTATTTCTTTCGACTTGGGATGACTTTTACAGATTTTGTCACGAAATTTGCCTGGAATTTTTCTGACAAATGGATAAATTGTGTTACGATTTTGGGATAATAGAGGACTTACAATTTGGCAAATTTTGTCAAAATGGCACTGTTCCTACAGAATTCCTAATTCAAATGTTGAGAAATTTTTCAGTAAATTATTATTAAATTATAGAAAATTTTAGACAAATCTTTAGTAATGTTATGCAAACGTAATGTAAATTGTGTAAATTTTAGGCAAATTTTTAGTAATGTTATGCAAACATAAAACAAATTGTGGTATATTTAGTCAAATTTTTAGTAATGTTATGTATAAGGTTGCTGGAGAAACTAGGGGTTTTGGCAAGTTGGCGAAATGTCGTAATGGTAAAACTTTGCCGAAACTATATGAAAGTCTTATTAAAAAGTTAGCAAAATTTTGAAGAAAAAGCAAAATCTGACGAAACTTATTATAAATGCTGAAATTGCTAAAACCTTGCCGAAATTATAATAAAACTATAGTAAAATTTTGGAGAAACTAATCGTAGAATTTTGGAAAGGTTTAGATAGGCAACCTTAGTTAAGTAAACATAATGCAAATTGTAATAAATTTGGGTAAATTTTTAGTAATTTTATGCAAACGTAATGCAAATTGTGATGAAATTAGTCAAATTTTTGTAATTTTATGTAAATGTAATGCAAATTGTGGTAGAACCCTGGAAAATACTTATATAGGTAAGGTCCCAAAAATATTTTTTATTAGTAGCTCTAAGCATAGGTTTTTACTATGATCGCTAAGCATTGTTGATATCTAACCTTAAAAATTATATAAAAATAAGCAAATCAATCTTCTAACCTAATTAAATTTTTATTATAACACATATAA